GAAACCGGTATTGTTCTCCTTCGTTATACACTCGATATCATAAATTAACTGGTGAGAATTCTGGACGTACATGGCTTTGCTGCTCACCGTCAAATGGACATGTTTATTGTTTCAAGTGTAAGCTTTTATTATCTGATATAACAAATAATTCTCCTTTTATACAAGGGTTTTATCATTGGAAAAACGGACAACGTGATGTCGAGCTACATAAAAATAGTGAAAGTCATATATCAGCTTGTTTAGCATTTGCACAGCGACGCGGTATGATTGGTTGTGTTGATACGGAACAGGAGAAAGCAATCTTAAATGATTCTAGGTATTAGTCATCTGTTCTTTGGCGGACGGTGGATGGGGTAAAGGGTTTAGCTGAGCGTGGTTTGCAAACTTCGTGGTCATGAAGAGAAGTTTGGTTCATTACATAATTGTAACTTTATAGAATCCTCGAGCTATTAGCTCTTTATGATCGTTTTTTGGCTGCACATATTAATAAGCATGGTAACCCAGGTCGTGGCAAAAAATCATACTTATCTTCTACAGTCTGTGATGAACTCATTAGTTTAATGGGTCAAAAAGTACTTTTGTTTATTGTTGATGAAATAAAAAAAGCAAAATATTATAGTGTGTCAATTAATTTAACACCTGACTTATCGCACGTCGATCAGTTGTCAGTGATAGTAAAACAAAGTAAACAAAGGTAAACCAATTGAGCGTTTTTTGACTTTCATTAAGTTTGAAGTCACACTGGAATCAAATTATCAAATGCATTATTGGAGTTCTTAGAAAAAAATAATGTTGCTAACTGTCGTAGTCAGACGACAAAAGAAAAGCACCAGTGTCTAAAAAAATATCAGGCACACGTTAGTCAGCATATGCTGATGCAACAAGTGCTTTGCGAAAAGGTTACAAGAATATTCAATACGCTCTAGATATCATTGCAGCTGATATACTTACAAAAAGTGAAACTTGACAAGAAGCAATAGAACTAGCAAAACGTCTTGATGAATAGGAAACTGGTACTTTGACTTTATTTTGGGACACGATACTGCAAAGATTCAATAAAACAAGTCTAGCTTTACAAAGTGCCACTTTAGATTTAAATAAAGCTGTTGGTTTGTTGCATTCATTGTTTAATCGTTGAGATGTTCGATAGAATTTGATAAATTTGAAAAATACAGTTGTCCAAATGTGAAGAATAGATGTCAAAAGAGTCAGAAAAAAAAGCAACAGTTCAATAAATGTTAATTCTGATAGGGTTCTCCTGCTTTCAAAAAAGAATTTCGAGTTAATGTGTTGATTCCTATTATCAATCCATTAAAATCAGCAATGACTCACAGATCTGCCGCGAATGCAGATGTGGCCAGCAGATTTGGGTTCATGAACAATTTGCAAACATTGACTCGTATGGAAGTGATAAAAATTGTGATACTTTACAGCACATTACTCCAATGATATTAAAGTCAGCTTGGGAGAGGAAACGTGCATCAATATATATTCTTTGAACTCCGGCCTGTTTTTTATAAATTCACTTCTTTATGTAAACATTTCTTTATAATTATTTTCCTTCTGATAATATGAATACGCTAATTTAATATTATTATTAGTCGAGTTACGTCATTTTCTAGGCTTTTCTATACTTGGTTTGTTTTAAAATTTTATTTACTAACAACGCGTATTACAGGTTGCTTACTGCTAGTATTATATGAATATATACTATATATATTTAAAAAAATATCTAATGTTTATAAAACTCTTCCTCCCCACTTATACCATTTTGCACGTATTTCAGTTCGCACATACCCCAATTTGAACTTATGCCGTTTTGTAGTTATGCTATTGTTTGCAAATTCTGTCGGCGCACTTATGACAGTTTACACTTACTCCAAGTTGCACTTAAGTCAATGTTTGCAAATTCATATAACGCACTTATGACAATATGACCATATGCTATTTTACACTTATGTTAATGTTTGCAAATTTTTTTTGGGACTTTATGCCATTTTGTACAAACGCGAGTTTGCACTTGTGCCAGTTTTTACAACTGCTTCGCACTTATGCAAGTTCGCAGTTGTCTTATGCCAATTTGCTCAGACGCTTCTTTTAGCGAAATTATGCCAATGTTTTCAAAATCTTTTGGCGCACTTATGCCAATTCGCACATACGCTAGTTCGCACGTATGCCAGTTTTTGCAACTGCTTCGCACTTATGCCAGTTTGCATTTATGCCAATTCGCACTTATGCCAATGTTTGCAAATTCTTTTGGCGTCCTTATCTTAATTCGCACACACGCCAGTTCGCACTTAAGACAGTTTTTGCACTTATGAAATTCGCTTGAAAATACGCTTCGCACTTATGCCAGTTCGCACTTATGAAAAAAGCCTCCCGTAATTTGACCTCAAAATTTCGGGACAACTGAATAAGCGCGAATTTCATAAGTGCGACTGGCGTAAGCGCAAACAGGCATAAGCGTGAATTAGCATATGTGCGAACTTGCATAATTGCAAAGCGTTTCAAAAACTGGCATAAGTGCGAACTGGCATAAGTGCGTCAAAACATTTTGCAAACATTGGCATAGATGCAAATTGGCATAAGTGCGAACTGGCATAAGTGCGCCGAACAAAATTGCAAACATTGGCATAAGTGCGACTTGGCGAATTTCATAAGTGCGAACTGGCATAAGTGCGAATCAGTTACTAAAACTGGCATAAGTGCGATCTGGCATAACTGCGCCAAATAAATTTGCAAACATTGGCATAAGTGCGAAATACTAATTTGCAATTATGCCAATACTTAAAATTTTATTCGGCGCACTTATGCCATTATTTGCAAATTTATTCGGTGCACTTATGCCAATTCACAGTTATGCCAGTTTGCACTTATGCCAATGTTTGCAAAATGTTTTGGCGTACTTATGCCAGTTTTTACAACGCTTCGCAATTATGCTAGTTTGCACATATGCCAATTTGCGCTTATGCAGCCTCCCGCAAAATTATTCGTTAAGGTTTGATCTACAAATGGAAGTTTTAAACTTTGTAATTTTTGAAATTTAGGTCTTAGAACTAATGTAGCTATAGTCAATTTTTGATATAAATGGTTTTTTATCTATAAAATATAAACTACTCAATAATTTTAATTGAATAAAGTTTATATTGTTCTTCATAGTAATACAAAACTTTTTTTTAAATTTTATTTAATGAGTAAATATGGTTTTAATGTTATTAAGAAACAGTTACTGGGGTATTTCGGGTCCCAACATAGTTTATGAGCCCGTAAAAAAAAATTTTTTTTTTTATATCTGGGCATACTATTATATGCAGTAAAAAGTGATTCATGGTCAAACATTAGTGACACCAATTTGAAGATATAGGACAACCATAATGCATTATTTTTATGAAACAATTTTCTGACGTTAAAACAGAAAGTGAAATTGAGCGTTATGGAAAAATATCATTAACTCGTTTTCCCTAAAGGCTAACAACGGGGGCTTTTTTTTTGGTGTTACTATATGATATTACAAGAGTATGTACCAAATTTCAGTTTATTTAGAATTTTTTCCCGGTAATAACCTAAAATGACTGGGCTATAACTCTTCTGAAATAACTATTACTCTTCTGAAATAACAAGCAACTATTAATAGAAAATTCTTTTAAAATCAAAATGTTTTGATTTTTGGTTCAACAAGCTTTGATTTTGATGCAGTATGATAAATCTGATGCACTATGATAAATTATATGTATAAGACAAAATCGTAACATTCAAAAAATTTATATATTGACCAAGTTTTTTTCGTTCAAAAGAAAGATCTCTCTAAAATAATTTTTATTGTTTCTAACCCTAGTAGTGTCAATTAAGCTCTTTTCAATGATGCAATAAAAATTTTTTTTGCCTACATTAAGTTTTAGAGGTTTAAACACACGTTATTTTAAGGTATTTCATTTTTTTTCTCGCTATTTTGCTTTCAAAATAACTCAGAAAAGATATATATAAAAAAGATGATTTTTAATCCATATTGGTATGATAGTGCGTATTTTAAAATTTTCTATGGTTCAATCAACTTTACTTTTTTATAAAAAATGTATACAAGTTTCTTAATTATGTTAGTTTTCTAACAATTCTGCAATTTAGTTGAACTCCAAAATTTTAATCAATTATTTTTGTTTTTTTAATTAAATAGTATAGTTTATTATTGACTTTAATTTCATAATTAAAAAAAAAAAAAAGTTAAAATAAGTGATACAAGATTGATTTTTATGACTAATAACAAAAAAGTCATGCTGTCTAATTTTTTTTGAGGACACAGTATATATTTATATATATATATATATATATATATATATATATATATATATATATATATATATATATATATATATATATATATATATATATATATATATATATACACACATACATATATATTTATATATATATATATATATATATATATACACATACATATATATTTATATATATATATATATATATATACATATATATATATATATACATATATATATATATACATATATTTATATATATATATATATATATATATATATATATATATATTTATATATATATATATATATATATATATATATATATATATATATATATATATATATATATATATATATATGTGTGTGTAAAAGATTATTAGATCATATTCAGTGACAAGCCTGAATATGATTAAAATATAATCAATTAACTAATTACTTTATGTCAGCATGGTATCTAATTAACGGGTGATGCATAATTAGTGACACAAAAATCAAAGCCTTATATTTTTAAAGAAATAAAAGAAAATTTTTTTTTCACTTTTAAACAATAACACAATATTTATTTTTTTTAAATTATTTTTTGTAAATCGATTGAACGCCTTGATCGGCTATTAATCTCAATTTAGTTTTGATACCCTTCATAAGGGGTTTTAAAATTGTCAAATCAATTTTTTTCAGACAGGCTTCGTTACGCCGAATCAGTTGTTGTTCACTTTTGGCCTCCTATCCACCCTCATACACATTCTGAGCCAATACTCCCCAAAAGTCTTCGATTGGCCTGGCTTTGGGGACATTAGGAGAATTCATATCGACCGGCACGAAGTTAATCATATCATTCATCCACGATATTGCCTCTTTAGCTCTATGGGCACTAGCTAAATCCGGCCAAAATATGTAATTTAAATCATCGTTATACTTATCTATGAATGGCAACAATCGTTCCTCTAAGCATTCTTTGATATAAATTTCGGGTTTTATTGCAGCCGAGGTTGACGACCGGAAGAGTGGTTTCGACATTCCACGCTCAGAAAATGCGATCCAAACGAGAATTTTTTTTGGAAATTTCTCTTTTCCCACAAAACGTATATTTTCTGGACATTTTTCTTTGTCGTTCGTGTAATAACCGGCGTTTCCAGGCATTTCATCGCCAGCAAAAGTATTTTTCGTCGTCCAAAATTAAAACGCTTTGTTCTTTGTAGAGGTGATTGACGAGTTTTTGACTTCTTTTTTGTGCCCTTAGACGTTGTTCATCATTGTATTTCGGTGTTTTTTTGCGTTTCCGATATTTTATGTTCATTTTGGCTAATTGTCTACAAATTGTTGCTTGATTTACGTGCGAGCTTTCTTTGACTTACACCTTTTCGATTGTTGGTCAACCTTTTAAGTTTCGCTTTTTTTTCTTGAGTCCACGATGACGGGCGACCAGAATTTTTTTTTATTTTTAAACATTGTCCATCAAGCTGTAGATTGATATATCTATATGCTGTTTAGCGAGCGATTCCTTTTTTAATAAAATGGTTAGCGGCTTCGGCTTTGGTCGCTTTTGGGTTTTTTACAAAAAAATTTTTGACGCTTTTTTGAAGAGCTGCTCTTTAACATTTTTTTTTGATAATTTTTTTTTTAAATAAAACTAGAATATTCAATTTACCAAAATAAATTTATATGGCTTAATGAAAAAGATTATATTACGAGCAAAACTAAGTTAACTTGTGTGTCACTAATTACGCATCACCCGTTAGTATTGACATTTAACAACATTTTAACTTTTTTCAGGTACTTATAAGTAAAGGGGTCGTCCATAAATAACGTCACGCAACTTTTTGACTTTTTTGACCTCTCCACCAAGCCTCCTTTCCACAACACCGTAACACTTTTTTAGTTTTTGATTCGTCACAAAACCACTAAACTCTCCGCCTACTAAGAGCGTGATGTAATTTATGCACGACCCTAATTAGAAAAACAAGAATACCAAATTAGCAATTTAGAATTTTATATAACATAATGGTAACTGCTTTTTCATTAATTGAAGATTCAAGTGAAGACTCCTGTCATAAGTAAGATATGACCAGTTAAAGATTTGAACATATTTTGTTCTTGATGTTTTTCCATAGCCAAAATATGTAATTATCTATGTAGAAAATATAGTAATCAAACATCTAATATATTGTATGTGTTACTTAATTTTACAAAGCACCTACATCCATGCTTTTCTTCAATTATCATCGTCGTCATCATCATAGCTGTCATCATCAGAATCCTCAAAATCAAAATAATACAGTTTGCGTAGCATATCCATTACCTGATCTTTATTTTCATATTCTTCAATAATTCTTAAATCAAGGGACATATTACTATAACATTGAGCTTTGCGGTCTACTAATTTATATTTATCCTTGACAACTTCTTTTAAAAATTCTTCTATAAAATCTTCTTCTGATATAGCGTAGCTGATCGCACTTATGCCCGGAATTATATCATTGATCCTAGGATCAGCATTTAATCCAAGTAGTACTTTTACTATTTCCATATCATTTTCAATAACAGCATATTTCAGCAACATTGAAGCGACATAAATTTGAGAAACTCTACATCTACCAGACGCAGAATTATGTAAGGCTAAAACATTTATAAAATTAGCTCGCTCATTATTATTTTTACTTTTAAATTCATTAAACTGTTTTATCGAAATTTCTAAACTTAACATTCTCTTTATATCTTCAAGGTGATTTTCCCTCATTAACGGTATATTATTAAGATCATAATCAATAATTATGTCCTGTATTTTTCCTACATCGCCTTTGGCTTCAGCTAGCCATAGTTCGATACCTTTATCATCTACACCTGTCAGCCGAGTCAATTTCTCATATGAACATTTATATTTAATGCTATCATTTTGAAAAAACATCAACGCTAACTTACAATTTTCTATTTTTTCTTCTTTTGTTTTTTTATTTCTATTATTTTGCGTTATTCCATTTTCTTTTACGCTTTTTAATTGTTTATATATTATATTTTCTAATTCATCAATTGACGCTACATTTTCAAAATGATTGAAATCGTAATTTATTAATTTTATCACTTTCGACGTAGCATCCTTTATAGATTCTGAAGAACTTCCATTCAACGCATAAAACCAAATTTTACTGATATTTATTTGAGGATTTAAAGAATAGTTTTCAGCAATTAACAACGCTAAACTATTTAAACTATTTGTACAATTATCGATGACATATATATTTGATATAGGTGTAGCTTGTTCTATCAATGCAGAGTAATGAGTAGGGTCTTGATTGTAATTTTTTATATGATTAGACTGTAAATCGACTTCATTTATATCAAGATTAAATGACTTTTTCATATTTGATGGTTGAGCTGAAACTATTGAAGAAAAAAGCATAAAATAAAATAATAAAAACAAATAACATTAAATTAAGAAAAACATATATATAACATTTAATAAATAAGTTGCGATAGTCATCTAAAAGAATTTTAAATGACTATCCCATTTATCAAACTTAATATTAAGTATTATTTTTCAAATGAGCTATTGTAACACTATTTTGCTATATATCACGACGTAAGTGATGCCAAATAAAACTCGCATAAATAAGTGATTTCTGCCGTGTCTCCAATTACCTAAACTTTTTGCATACTAAAAACATAATAAAATTTTGAGGATGCCACATAGCTCTTAGTTACCTGTTTTGAACAACAAAATTACCAGGCGCTTACAAAATAAGTGATTTCTGCCGTGGCCCCTGGCGAAAAAAGTTGTTTTTTACATTTTTAAAATAAGAAAGAGTCTCCTGATCATAAACAAAAAAAAATTCTGGGGATGTGTTGTAAGGTTTCACAGCATGTTCCTATGCATCGTGCTTCCCAATTGTAGTATAAAAGTTGTCTTTGATGGACAGTACTCTTCATCATATCCTGCAACTTTAGGGGTTCCTCAAGGTTCAATTTTTGGCCTTATACTCTTTTTAATTTACATTAAATATCTTCCAGATACTCTCACATATAAGGTAGCATTGTTTGCTACCTTATATGTAAACTTTAATTCAGATAAAATTTAATTTTTTTCAGCCAAACGTTATTGCAATAACTTAGATTTTTCTATATTTATCAACGGTAATGTTCTCGATGAGTCATCTACCCTTCATCTTCTAGAATTAACTCATACTTCTAATCTTATATCAAATCAATGGCAAAATTAGCATCTTTTAAAGTTGCTTATTTTTATCGAGCTCGACACTCTTACTCCAGATTTTATTTTTTAACTCTATAAAACTTAAATCCGTTTTTGCATTGAACACAAGAAAACCATATCTGGGACGGAGCTTCTAATGATGACTATTCTCTTATAGACAAGGTGCAAAAGCGGATTGTAAACATAGTTGTACTTTCTCTTGCAGCCAACCTTCCATCATTATCACATTATCGTAACGTTGCTTCTCCTTCTCCTTTCTACGAATACTATAATGCTCTAAAGAGCTAGCTTTTCTTGTGCCATCTACTAAAATTTATTATCAGGTTACTCATCATTCAATTAAGTCTTATCTTTTTCCTGTACCTGTAACAATGCTACAAAAACTCTTATTCCCATTGTTTTTTTCCTCGAACATTAGTTCTTTTGAATTCGCTTCCTTTGTCTTGCTTTCCTATTTCATATAACTTGCAATTTTTAAGTTGTTTGTCAATCGTTAATTTGCTCTACAAACTTCATCTTTTCTCTTTAAGTAAATTCTAACTCTTATTGTGGTTGCTTGCAGCCTTGTTGGAAGTAAATATGTAAAAAAAAAAAAAAATTGTATAAAAACACTCAATATAGTAATTATGGGAGTAATCCAATATAGTTATTACTTTTTCCAGTTTATATTTGTTGAGACTAATAAATATGTAGTTGCTAAGCAATTAAGATATCAATAGCAATTAAGTGAACAGTGCAAAAATGGTTCTTAAATCTTTTTTATATGACGAGTTATTAGTTTTGTTGGGTAAAAGTGAATTTTGGATTTTGGCCAAATGCGCGATTCTATATAAAACATTATATAGGGGAAGTGGGGACACAGAGGATATAGAGGCACAACCATGTATTAACATTTCTATTGAAAAATCTTATCTAATATAAGCTTTATATACCATAAATATTATATATATATATATATATATATATATATATATATATATATATATATATATATATCATAAGCTAAATGATCACCAAACAACCATGTATAACCCCAATGAATAAATAAGTCATAAGTTTGTTTTGGATATACTTAGGTTAAAATTCCCAAATAATGTAAGTATAGCATTCAACATAAATTCTGTACGAAATAAATTTACAGACATTACTTCCTTATAAAACTGTTAATATTTTTATTATTGGGGAAACCAAGCTAGATAAATTTTTTTTAACCAATCAGTTCTCATTAACAGGTTATAAAACTCCTTACTGCCTTGACATTTCTAATCTAAGTGGAGGTCTTCTTGTATATATTAATGAAAATATTCCTTCAAAAAGGTTAAATAAAGTAGTTATACCTAATGATGTAAAAACATTTAAAATTATATTAAAAATTGAAAATAGCTAATATTAGCTATTTATCAGCCTCCATCTCAGATAAATGATTATTTCTTCATTTACCTTAAAAAAGTGCTTGACTTTTATTTGCAATCTTTTAATGATTTAATTATAATAGGTGACTATAACTCAACACAGCATATTATTTTAATGAATGAATTCTTAGAACTCTACCAATGCAGTAATTTAATACAATCACCAACATGTTTTAAACCGGTTATAAACCCATCTTGTATCGATCTCATCCTTACAAACAGAAAGTTTTGTTTCCAACATATTAATGCTGTTTGTACGGTCATGAGCGATCATTGCCAGCTTGTCTATACTATGTTAAGATCTTCTTTTTGCAAGCTACCACCCAAAAAACTATTATATAAGATCCTTTAAAAGCTTTTCAAGCAATATTTTTTCTGAAAAACTTAATAATAATTTAAGATCTTTTCGAGACATTTGACAATTTAATGGAATATTGTAAAATTTTGAATTTACATACACCAAGACTAAAATCCTCAGAGGCAAAGACCATTTGTCACTAAACCATTGAGAAAAGCAGTTATGCTTCGTTCACACTTAAAAACAAATACCAGGCTAATAAATCTAAAATTTGTTTCTTATTATATAAAAAACAAAGAAATATTGTGGTTAATCTTAATTGGAAAATTAAGCGAACGTACTTTAGATGCATCAATTTGCACACGACAACCATTACCTCTCTTTGGATATTATGTAAACCATTTCTTTTAAGTAAGTCTGGTAATTCTAATGGAACGCATAAAATGGTGAAGTGATTTTTGACAGTTTAATTTCTAATATTTTTAACGATTTTTTCATAAAACATCTCTTCTTCTGTTGAAAATGATGGCGAGATCTCTCAACATTTGATAATTTTGCAATACCCTGTTAAGACAGCTATTGAGAGATATTTAAACCATCCAAGTATTAAAATTATACAGAATAAATTTAAAATGATATCTCAAAGTTTCAAATTTCATAAAATAACACCTAACGATATTTCCAAAATTATTGATTCAATGGAAATTTACAAGAAAACTAGCAGCGACATATCACCATATCTATTAAAATCCTATGATAAGTTTTTCAGAGAAAGTGTTGCAAAATGTATAAATAAAAACATTTCTGATGGGATATTTCCTTCCTTTTAAAAATAGTTGATATCATAACTTGTTTTAAGAAAAATGACCTAACAGATAAGTCAAACTATTGACCAATAAGTATCCTTCCAGCTCTTTCAAAAGTATTTGAGCACATTATATTTGAGCAAATACGGACGTTTAATGAGTCTAGATTAAACATTCTGTTGTATGACTTTCATAGAGATAATGGCACTAAGCATGAGCGTTTCATTTTACTAAAAAAATGACAGAAATGCCTGCTTAATGAAAACATTATTGGGTCCATGCTTATGGATCTTTCAAAAGCTTACGAACTGATTCCTCATGATTTATTAATAGCTAAATTGGAAGCTTATGGTTTCCCTCATTAAAGACTTAAACTATTCCTATTATATCTGAACGATCATAAAAAAAAAAGTTAATTTGGGTTCATCATTGACTTCATCGAGTTGTTAGGAGTTTAATTAGGAGTGCCTCAAGGATCAATCCTTGGACCAATATTCTTTAAAGGGACTACCAAGTCCCGAGACATGTTGTGTTCATATTAAAAAGAATGTTAAAAAAAACGTCTGAGCAAATTTTTTTTGATTAAAACTAATTAATAAATGTATACCAAGAAAAACAAATCTTGTTGTTTTAGTCGAAACTCGTCTTCTCCGTTTTCTCTGGTATTTTGAGTATGTAAAATAAACGCGATTTTCCAGGTGCATTATACAGACTAGATAATTTATTCAAGCGCGTTTAATTCATAGGAGTTTTAGAGCATGATGTCATTAGAAACATTCTAGAAATTCTTTAAAAATTTTACTATTAAATTTTACTCAAATAACTAACTATAATTACTTAGTTTATTAAAAGTTTATTTTATTAATTGTTCGTTAGTTTTTTACAAATCTAACGAACAATTAATTAAACCAAGCACTAAGAAAAGATATAAAAATTAAGAATATACTAATAAAATATATAATTTGTAATTAACTTTCAAAATTTTGACAATATAAAAAATATATATTATAAAACATTTATTTTTGTAAACAAATAATAATAGTTTAAAAGTTTTACGGCTTTACAGATGTGGCTTTGTGAATGAGCCATAATATTAAAGTAATAGTTCATTTGATAATATATTCTTAAAAAAATTTATGCTAGATATCTCAAAATGCAACAAATCGTAAATAATACAATTAATAAAACATTTCAACAGAATACTCTAGAACTTTATTTCGCTTAGTCAGCGTGTTTTTTGAACCAATAGAATTAGTTTGTTCGCAAATTTGCCAGGTTTTTAGTGTTCGCGAATATTCTTTTTATTCTATTTTTTAAAGACTGTGAAATAGTTTTGTTTTGAGATTTTTCAAGTTAAATTTTGTATTTTTTCAATTAACTTTTATGAGTTTTTGAATAAAATATATAGCTAAGAGTATATTGAATGAGAAAACTCAGACTGTAAGTATAAAGGATGCCTACACAGTATGCAGATGTGCAACAAAATCAGCAAATATTCTGAGCTGTGACAATTGTAAAGAAAATGTACCATGAAAAGTGTACCCCCAACAATTTTTGTAAGGGTGCGGTTGTGCTTTACATTGGGAGTTAAACCATTTTTTTCACTAAGTGTAATTTTTGTGTAATAACATTTTAAAAACTGTTTAATTTTTTTC